TGTAAGCGACGGAGCAGACCCAAATGCAACCGCACACGTGAGATAAGACGACTGGAGGGCAGAACCAGAAGTAATTAACTGCCACCTTGAGAGCACATGACTGTCAGAGAATAATACGTTGCCAAATTGATACAAGAGTACAAGGAGATCAATGAAGCATGCGACATTCAAGGAGTTTGTAACACACTTAAAATCGATTCAGTAATTTTTTTTTTACTTTTAATGATCAGAAAATACTTTTCGATGTTCGTATCAAACTTTCGAATCTATATGTTTAAGATAAGAAAAATCTTAAATCAATTAGATTTAATTTTAAAATTCTATGAATAAAGACCAAAATATAAAAGTGTGAAATTAATAGCTTTGAATACATGTAAAGTTTGAAAACTCTTTTATGAGCATGTTATTAAAGGACCAAGTTCTACTTTTTCCTAAAATCTTAATTTTGGTGATTCTTCGACTATGAATAATGAAATGATAATTTGTAACTATTTTATTAATTATAAAAATTAACTATCTTATTAATTGTAAAAATTAATATTTTATGTCAAATTACATATCTATTCATTTCTATATCTAAAGCCTTAGTGGCAAAAAGAAACTGAAACTTATCTTCAACTTTTAAATTCTATTTATTTTAGAATCTTCTTCAAGAATTTAAAATCTTCCAAATTAAGTTCCTTACAATCTAATCATTAGAATTCAATTCTAATCATATATATATATATAGAATAAGTTTTTACTTTTTCTCTTCATTTGGTAGCAATTTGGAACTAAGTGTTATTTAATTATAAGTTCAATAGTGATTTTTTCATGATTTTTAATGTTTTCGAAGACTATGTTTTTTTTATAACTATTGAAGATCTGTAGATTTATTTTCATATTTTCATGAATACGACAATCAATTGAAAAAAATCTCTATGTTTAATACCTCAACAATCAATTGTAAAAATCAAAGCAAGGAATGTTTTGAGTGTTGATTACTAGACTCGAACCTTTACCTTCAAAGAAAAACGCCAAGTGCTTAGTCGCCAAGCTAAACAATGTAATTTGAGGTGATTTCACAATACATATTTAACATGTGAGACATTAATATGATGGATCGAAGAAATGGATAGAAACAATTGTCTCTCTAAAAATTTTAAATGGATAAAAACAATTGTATCTCTAAAAATTTTAAATTAACATATATTTTAAATATTTTTTAATTGATAATCTATTTTTGTTCTTAAAATTTTATAAGTTTTCTTCCTCTTAAAATTTTAGAAATTCTACACCTGTAACTAGACATTAATATACATGTATTATAAAAGAAATTTACTTGGGTGGAACCGTGTAAGGAATACTCCGTTGCGACTTCGACAACCAACACGTTCATGTAACCATAAGACACACAACAACAACAACAACAAAACCCAATTCCCATATGTATGGGGTAAGGGGGAGGTAGGGTAGTAGGCTGCCCCCAACGCCAGGTTGAGAATAGCTTCCGTGAAAGACCTCCGGCAGTCAGAAAATTAAAAATATAGATAAAATGCAATGCATGTATAAATAATTACATAAATACATAGCTAAACAATATTCATATGCAGTCATTAATATCATATGTGTTTCTGTAATGGGGAGTAATCCCTGCAAAATAATCCATGCGAAAGAATCTCTGCATATAGACAGAAAACATAGGACCCGGCTAATTTTAACAGAGGAAACATGACGAGAATGATACACAGAAGACAACGATAGCAAGCCCAGTTCTAATCTTTCATAAATACCAATAACAGAAAAGTATAAAAAGTAGAAGTCATGGAAATTACTACAAATGCATTTAAAAGAAGACAAAGATGATACACCCTATAGATGTGACCCACACTACTCGACTACCCTAGTCTTAAGCCTCCATAATTTCCTATCATAGGTCATGTCTTCGGTAAGGCCTAAATCCATCAAATCAGATCTCAAGCAGTCATCCCACTTCCGCCTTGGTCGTCCTTTTCTTCTGGCACCGTGGACTGTAATCGACTCTACCCTCCTGACCGCATCCGACGGTAGTCGCCTAAGGACGTGCCCAAACCACTGTAGTCTTCCCTCCCTCAATTTTTCGGAAACAGACACCACCCCTAAGGACATCCTAATAGCAGAGTTTGTCGTCATATCCCACAGAGTCCTACCACATGTCCATCGAAGCATTCTCATTTCTGCAGCCTCTATCCTCCTTACGTGATCTTTCTTGGGTGCCCAACATTCTGATCCATACAACAGCGCTGGTCTTATTGCCATTCTATAAAATTTTCCCTTAAGTTTTAGAGGCACCTTCTTGTCACACAAAACTCCAGTAGCGGCCCTCCACTTTAGCCATCCCGCCTATATACGGTGTGTAACGTCATCATCTACACCCCCATCTTTATGTATCATAGACCCTAAGTACTTGAAACAATCCTTTGAGGGAAGAACGTGTCCTTCTATGCATACTTCTACATCTTCATCGTTTTGGTTCCCATTGAAGTTTGAACATAAATACTCTGTCTTTTCAATATTGATCCTTAAACCTTTATCTTCCAAAGCAGTCTTCCAGGTAGCCAGTCTACTATTCAACTCAGATTTTGTTTCAGCAACTAGGACAATGTCGTCAGCGAAAAGTATACACCAAGGTACACCGTCTGGTGTCGCACAATAGATGTCGTCCATAATCAAGGCGAAGATGTAAGGGCTAAGAGCTGACCCCTGGTGGAGTCCGATTTCCACTGGGAATGCCTCGGTGTCGCCAACTGTAGTCCTGACGTAAGTAGTAGATCTACAGTACATATCACGAATCGCCCGGATATAAGCAGTTGGTATCCGTCTCGTTTCCAAAGTCTTCCAGATCGTATCGCGAGGAACGCTATCATAAGCCTTCTCAAGGTCAATGAACGCCATGTGAAGATCTCTAGACTTTTCCCTATATTTCTCCATAAGCCGTCGAAGTAGATGAATCGCCTCCGTGGTAGACCTGTTTGGCATAAAACCAAATTGGTTTTCCGAAACCCTAGTAACTTGTCTCAACCTAGCCTCTATCACCCTTTCCCATAGCTTCATGGTATGGCTGAGTAGTTTAATACCTCTGTAGTTACCACAACGTTGGGGATCTCCTTTATTTTTATAGATTGGTATCACCGTAGACTCTCTCCACTCCTCTGGCATCTTGGCAGTCTCTAAAATAATATTAAAGATGTTGGTCAACCACTTAACTCCCTCATCTCCTAGGGCTAACCACACAGTGATAGGAATTTGATCAGGACCGACAGCTTTCTCCCTTCCCATCTTTCTAAGAGCCATTTTGACTTCCTCAAACCCAATCCTTCTTGTAGGGCAGTCATTGGCCGTAGTATGATGGTCGGCTGACCCATCAACGATACTATCTATACATGGAGAGGCACCGTCATTAAATAAGCCAAAGAAGTAACTACCCCAAACCCTCTTAATATCATGATCTTTCGTTAAAAGAACACCATTGTCTTAAACAATAGCAAGAAACAATTGGTATGTTGTGCTTGAGTTGACAAAGTTAATTGTTAATGTTACATTGTGTTGTTATTTTGAATTAATCAATAAGATTAATTCAGATTGAATACTGCAAGACGAGAATGATCATCCCACCCTAATTTACTCTATTCGCAAACGTCAAGATTCGAACTTTAATGTTATTTAAGAAATCTAATGTCTCATTCTATTAGACCAACTGGTTGTTGATATTTTTGGTATTTCGTATAATGCTAAAACTAATTCTCAATATTTATTTAAATAATCATTTTAGTTTTTATATTATTTATGTGACATTTATAGACGTACTTAATTGATTATATAAAACATGTTACATCATCATTTTTTATGACATGATATATATCACATCATCACTTTAAATAATATGATATGTATCACATCATTATATTGTGAAACATAACGCATTATAACTCATTGCTTTGAGTGTCATGTTATAGATCACGTCATTAATGTGATGATGTGACATATATTATAATATATCAATAATTAAATACATATAAAAATATTATGTCAGTAACATACATTGATAACACTTAACTAAGAATTTCTATCCGATTTAGATTATTTTAACTAAAACTTAAAATATTAAAAATTAAAAATTAAAATGTTTTTAAAAAAATATAAACCAAAATGATAATTCAAAAATGTTGAGAGTTAATTTTATCATTATTTTTTATAATATTAAGAAAATAGCAGTTAACATAATTAATTTATTCTTATGCTCCTAAAGTTTTCTTTTCCAAAATTATGAATCTCAATGTATTTTCTCTTTGTTTACTTGATAATACCAAATATTGTTATTATTTAGAAAATTACGTAACAAACTTAACTATTTAAACAAACGAGAGTTAAAATTTAATCTTTGCTTTAATTTATTAGAACTCGACTTTCATAGTTTATAAAAATTGAGAAGTCGATATTCATAAACACATAAATATAATTTTCTAATTTTTCTTGAAAAATATATATAAATTATTAAACTGTTAATTTTGAGTCATCGATTTAATGATAATATTTAACGGTGTTATCCTATTATAATAAGGTTTCAATTTTCGAAAAATGGGTATAGGGATAAATTATAAGAAAAATTAGCTGATCCTATTCCTATATGTAGTGGGTAAGGGGGAGGTAAGGTAGTAGGTTATCCCAACGTCAGATTGAGAGCAACTTCTGTGAAAGACCTCCATTATGAATTACCTTTAATGGGACTCGATCCCACGACCACAAGGTTAAGAGCCTTGCGCTCTACCAACTGAGCTAGACGGACAATTCGGATAAATTATAGGAACTATATCTTAAATTCAAACATAGTATAGGGACTAAAATGAGAATTTAAACTTATAATTAGCTGGCGAGCCATATTCATGAAGCTGACATGGCAACGTCTCATTGGACCACGTTAACAATAGAAGACCCAGCTAAAACAACAAAAAAACCACCCGACGAGTTCTTTCTGTTTTCTCTCAGGCGAACCTCTCTTTAATTCCTTAATAAATCCTTCTCCGGCAGCCGACAACCAAAATATCCCTTCGAGACCGACTTAAACGGCACCGTTTTCTTCCATGGCCTCCCCGCATAGAGATCGGACCTCCGAGTTCCGATCACTATCCCAAACGCTTCAAAAGCTCGGAGGAGGGATCTCAGCCGTCGATAAGAATCATCTCCAAAACGACGATGTTTCCCAATCTCCTCCTCTTCCAGTTTCATCTGTCAGATCTGAGTCCAATAGAAAGGCTTCTCTAATCGGGTCGGGTATCCATGAAACCTCTCAAAAAATTGTTCGACTTGCCAAACGTAAGCTCTTCATTTCGATTGTTCTTTTAGCTTAAACTTTGCTTAATGTTTCTTCCTTGGTATTTGATCCATTTTGAATATGCAATAGTCTAGATTTTAGCTATTTTTGAATAAAAAGTTGATTGATTTAAGTGTTAGCTGTTTAAATTTTAAAAAATGAATAAGAAGATAGAATATTTATCTTGATTGTACATTTCGGAATTATATTATTTTGCAATGGGATTTTTGAAATATTGTTACCTTGTTTATGTTTTTAATGTGATTGTTGCAGTGGCGAAAAGGTCATCGATGTTCAATGATCCGATTGTTGAAATACAGGAATTGACTGCTCTGATAAAGGCCGATATTACCACCTTGAATGCTGCACTTTCGGATTTGCAAACACTTCAAAACATGGAGATCGCTGACGGTAATTACTCGGAGGATCGGGTTGTTCATTCGACAACGGTGTGTGATGACTTAAAGAACAAGTTAATGGGTGCTACAAAACATTTCCAAGACGTGTTAACTGCAAGAACTGAGGTTTTATTTTATTTTATTGCTTAATAAGTATTGGGAATGAGAACTAACAAGTGTTATCTGTGGCTATAACATTACTTGTGTTTTTCTTTCGGTCTCTCAATATTGTGGTTGTGCAGAATATTAAAGCTCATGAGAATAGGAAACAGATATTTTCTAAAAGTACAAGAAGAGAGAATCCGTTTCAGCGTCCAACAAAATCTGTGACTGAGCCACCTCCTTGGTCAAGTTCTTCAAATGCCTTGGAGAGTTCGCTGCCCTCAGGGTGAGTACTCTCATTTCTTGTGCTGCATTTAGGAGATATTAATGAACATCAGATAGGAAACTACTATGGTTGGTATTACCCTGTCTTCATGTGTAGGAGGCCAAGTTGCTTTCCGGCTATTTTTTGGGAATCTGAAAGAATCGTTTCATTTGGTTTGCTAGACTATTAGCATGCTGCAATTTAATCTATAAAATCGACTGTCTGTTGGTTAACCTCCAATATAGACTTGCTGCACTGACCACCTTAGATGTTATACTTCAACTCTAAAATATTCTGCCGTGGATATTTACTTACACCTACCATTAGACTTTTAATTTTTTGGATGTGCCATGTTTTTTCAATGCAAAACGATAGCTTCTACTCTTGCTGTTTTACTAATGTATGTATTTTCCTTTTAACCAGACTTCCATCGAATGGAGTGCAAGCTGGAAGCCAACTAAGGTGTGTGTATTTGTTCATTGATGCCTGAGGTTTATATTCTTCCCCATTGCTCAAGTGTTCTACTTGTTGATCATATTTATGAACTAGATCCAGCGACATCTTTATGTAATCTTATGAAATTTAGATGTGTGGGTATTTATCCTTTACCATGCATTCAGATCGAAAATTTTCTTTATTTATGCATATGTAGGATATGTATCAAACTCATGCCCTTATAGAAATATATCCATGAGTTTCATTTTCGTTTTGTTTCTGTTTCCCTATTTGTTATATTTTACCCAACGATACCTATAGGCGGAGGCCGGCCGTGGATGGCACACCTTCACACCAGATGGAAATGTCCATGTTGCAGCAGGTCGTTCCCAGGCAAGAAGATTACTCTCAAGGTAGAGCAGTTGCTCTTCAAAATGTGGAATCTACAATTTCCGAACTTAGTGGGATCTTTACACATCTGGCCACAATGGTTGCACAACAAGGAGAACTAGCTATCAGGTCTGCTGTTTTTGGCTTTTTGCTCATATTTGTTTACTTAATTTCTTTTCCGGTTTAGATGTGGCAAGCTTACTACACCATTTCTCTCGGCATATCTTCAATTTGAAGTATTTGCTATATAAATTTATGGATTACGAGTCTTTCAAGAATCCGCCTAATTGATTTGACTTGTGAGCAGGATTGATGAGGACATGGATCAATCATTAGCTAACGTCGAAGGTGCTCGTAGTGCTCTATTGAGGCACCTAAACCAAATATCATCAAATAGGTGGCTTTTAATCAAGATATTTGCTGCAATCATCTTTTTCCTGGTGATCTTCATCATCTTTGTGGCTTGAAGTGATAACTCGAGATTCCAATATATATACTTCTTATCACGACATGGCGTGGATATCCGTGTATGGCTTATTCTGTCATATTCATTATGTATATTCAATTTGCTTTGCCATGATTTTCATGTGGTCCTAGCTTGTAAAAAGTTGCAGGCTTCTAGCTGTGTTGAACGTAACATAACTCCACCATACCTTATTGCTTGTAACCATGTTGAGAACCCGATTTGTGCATCAATAGAGGCTGATGAATTTGATATCGGATAATATGATTATTATGTTTCGAAATGATTAATTTTCTTCCCCCATCTCCCATGCTAGTATTTTTTCTTCTATTGCCTGTATTTGTTCGTATTATATGTACCCATAGGTGATACGTAGACGGAACGATATCCTTCTTTTGCCATGAGTGCATAAACAGAATCAATTATGTTCTGTTGAATAGCGATGTCTAGGCTACCCCCCCCCCTCTTCCGCGCCTGTTGTAGAAGCCAAAACCTGTCGACCTCGAGGTAGACGAGTTCTTTTCCAAGTTTGTATTGATATGTTCATGTCTTTATGGCTGCATAGGAAGAGTCTTTCCCTATGTCCAAAGATGTCAAATGAAATATTGCCGGAAAGGAAGGCTTACCGGAACTTTGTTGATCATCTCATGTTGATTCCGATGGTAGAAGGAATATTGTTTGCGGACCATGTCGGTTTCGATTATGATTACAAGTAACTACATTGATTAAAAGCCAACTAAACTTTGTTTGCAGATTAAATAAACAAAACAGAGAGTGAAACCCACTAAGTTGATTGGTGCGAACTTTCTCTGAGAATCTTGAGAACTTTTTCAAACCCAGAATTCATAAGTCAGTTGTTGGCCACTACCAAGTTTGATACGCTAAAGAATTGCTAAAGCAAAACAAGTGGAGAATAAAAGAAGGAAAGAGTAGGGAAGACTGGCCATTTTTAGGGCTTTTGACTGCCCTTGTATGCATTACAAACAAATAACTTTTATTTTTTCATATTTGACAGTGAGAAGTGATTATAGATAGGCAGCTCCTTTAGCAATGTATGTCATTACATGCCTATATATGTATATAATATGTGCATTGCAAAAGGAAGGAAAAATGAAATGAATGAAACTTTTCATGCTTCATTTGCATGAAGCTCCATTATTGAAGGCAAGAATAGGCTAAGAAAGCTTTAAATGTCAGAAGGCATTAAAGCTATGAAATACCCAGTAATGCCTTTTTTCCCCCCTTAAAGTGGAGCTAAAACTGGTGTATGTGTTCTTTTACTTTGCTTCCTTCATTCAGAAACAAGATTTTATGTTAATGGTATAAACTTAAGATGTTATGCTAAAAAATTAAAGAATGCAAAATCACAAAATTTTAATGAATATGAACTTATATCATCAATTAAAACATAAAAAAAATCTGAAAATTTATAATTTTTAAAGATATGATCACATCTCAATACTCCATCAATTCATCCCTACCTTTTAAGTTCTCTTATGTGTATATATATATACCAACATTTAAAAGTGAATGCAATTGCTAGTTGGCTATTGATTTTAAGTTTTTTTTCTTTACCTTTCATCTCAAAGATTCATTGGAAACAAGAAAAATCAAGTAATGGCAGACACACTGAAGGGGGAAATAAATATAAAATCTTTTATTTTCCATGATAGATTTGGTAAGAGAGTGTTGAAGACCGGAAGGTTAACCCTTGAAATGACTGACAATTTGCTTTGGAATTTTTGCCTAAACAACTCTATCCTTAGTTGACAAAGTATGCACTAACTCACCCAATGCATCCACCTTTTTTGAAATTTAATGAAAGTAGGAAGATTAAATTCTAAATATATAAAGAGTATAAGGATTTAAAATATATTTTAGCCTTTTTAAAAATTATTTATTTTTTTGTAATTTATATTTAAGTCTGAAGTGCAATTTTTTTTAATATAATAACAATTTAGTTTGAGAAAATTATAGGGGAATGAACATGTTATGTGGAAGGATAATTGGGATTTGTCAAGCATTTCAATCACTTGATGGTCTGTTTTCCTGTTTATTTCTTCATGCTTATCATCCTTGACATTGCTATTTCTTTTATACTTTATTAATGTCCTTTTACTAATCATCCTTATAAATTTCAAAGTTATACCAACAATTGGTCTAGTGGATGTTATAATTTTTTTTTAGATTTTATCATGTATAAGTTTTACATAATTTTATGTTATTTAAATTCAAATATAACTTCATCATCAGTTCAACTATATTTTGTATACATACTTATAATTTCGAAAATAAATAGTTTTCCATTCTAATGGCAATTGACAACCCCAAGCTCTATTTTTGAGTCCTCAAAAATCCACACGATCACGTAATCTTATAATCTAAAAGTTTTTCAACGTTTAGTGCTATGTCGGTTGGTCAAATATTTTACAAAACATAAATCGGATAAGACAGCATTTTTAAGGTTTTGTCATAACTTTGTTAATAATGTTAATAATAGTAATTAACAGAACTATGAAAGATCTTCATAGTACTATTGCAATCTAGCACGAATTTTATTTTCATATTTTTTTAGCAATGTCTAATTAAGTTTGAGGGTGTCCTTTCCCCTGGGCAAATTCAATGTTGACACATAATAATAATGATGATGTTGTCACTTGATAGTATCTAGCCATTAGTGTCCCAATTGTACATCATCTAAAGTTGGGTCCAATTGCTCAAGTTTATCCATCTATGTAATATTTACTACTATGAAATTTCAATAGTTGACAATGAAGCATTGGTGGACCGAGAAAGGTTGAGGTGTCAAGATTTATTTTTGTTTAAATATCATTATGTGTAAGTTTTTTTTTAATATTTAATTATTAGTCAAGTTAATTGTATCATACGTTCTTAAACTATAAATCTTATTTTAAATTGGTTATTGAATTTTTTAACATTCTAATTTTGTCTTTAAATTTTGATTCTATTGTAAATTAGTCCATAAACTTTTGAACATTTCAATTTCATCCCTAACAATCACTATATGTTAGTCATATCCGTTTCAATAAAATTGTTAGGCCAAACTATATTATTATGTGTTTAAATAAAATAAAACTTAGGTTAAACTATGGTTGGAACTAATTCCATATTTGGATGAATTTGAGTATGAAATTAGAAGATTTAAAAGTTTAGGGGCCAATTTAGAATTAGGGTCATAGTTTGAGGATGAAATTAAAATATTCAAAAATTTAAAGACTAATTTAAAATGAGAGACATAGTTTGAAGATGAAGTTGGAATATTTTAATGTTTGTGACTAATTTAAAATGAGAGTTATATTTTAGAGATGTATGTTGCAATTAATTCTTATTAGTTGATTATGCTTTGTTATGATTAATTCTCGTTATAGTTGCTAGGATATGTATTTGTTTATAATTGTACCTTATACTTTGTAACTTCAAAAAAAAAAAGTATTTAGAGTCAGAGTAGACGACATGTCGACATATCGAGTCGTTTGATTTAACTCGTAAATATCGTTAATTTAAATTTAAATATAAAATTTTAAAATAGTAATATAAAAATATTTTTAATATTTTATTAGTATATCAACAATGAAACAGATAATTGAGTTGAATTTAAACTTGAGTTTGTAAAATTTTTAAAATCAGACCATGACAACATCCTCATTCACTTCATGAACTAATCTAACTCTACAAATTAAATTAGGAGGGCGATACATACACTATGTTAAAAATTAGAGATATATTACAAAATTTATCTTTTATTGGTGGAATACAAAAAAATCACCTATATTGTATTCAAATGGAATTCATGATAAATAAGCAATTTAGATGAAATAATTGCAATGATGCATGTGTTTTTTTGTGTGGTAATAATTAAAATTATTTTTAGTCAATGATTGCTAGACAATCCTAAATAATTGGTATGATAAGGCTATTTAAATTTAAAACCAAAAGTATTATCAAAAACTTTTATCTATTTCTTTCTAGATTATGTTTTAAGAAATGATAGAATTGAATCCTCATGCCCTACATTTTATGGATTGGTTTCATTGCAATTTGAACTACCACTTTATGTCTAAAAAAACGTGCAGGGTACATTAATTAATGTTTGAACATGTAATCAAATTTTATTATTTCAACAAAGATATGAAATTTGGTTTAATGTGCTATTAGATTTATTAAATAACATTAAAAGTTTGAATATGGTTGATGTAAATAAAATAAGATAGATTAGAAGAATTACTTTTATAATAAATTTATTTACTATTTGATTTAGTTTAATTGGATCAATAGATCAAATATTATTTATTAATCTAAAAAAATGACAATCCTAAATTTTCTTTTCGAGTTAGCATCACCGACTCAATCAAGGATTTAATAATAAACTATAGTATGGATATAACAAAAGAAACTTATTACACAATTTATTTAACAAAAAAGTTTTCATAATAGCATTACTAATAATTAAACTTTATTATATGTGTGTCTATATATCGTGTTAGGCTTTATGATCACTACTAATTATTTTAAACTTTCTTAAGCAAAGAAAGAGGGTCCCGAATAGCCTCTTCGATTAATGATTATCTTTCCCACTAATCACCAGGCCAAGCTTGAAACCTAAACCTTTTTATAGGCTAACAAAAAAATAGTAAATTAAGAAATCATATTTCAGAAGTTGAAATTAAGCCTTGATTAATCATTTTTCAGTTTAAATACTTCTCAATTTCTTTTGAGACTCTAATCTTAATTTTGTTAAACTCTAATCTTAATTTTGTTATTGGGTAAAGTATATAAATGATCATTCGATTATAGGATACTGCTCTATTGAGTCTTCAGTGTAACTCCTTAAATCCGACATGGACAGTACGACCGAATCTCGAAGATCACCATAATATAAATTAAAAGAAAATAATCTCTTCCAAGTTCATTGATAAATACCATACATGAAAACAATTTTAGATATAACATGTTGTGATTGAAAGTCTGTATATCTTAATAATAAAACCATGTTTACAAGAAAATAATGCATACTAAATATAGTCCAAACACATAAAAACATAACATCTCATACTCTCAAACACAAAAAGTAATCCAATAAGAGTAATAAGCTACTAAGAAAAATAAAGTCTGAAAATATTTATACAGTATCTAGGAAAAATATGCTACTAGACGGTCCTCAAGTACCAATCGTAACCCTATAAGCCAAAGGGATCTAAAAAGAGAAAAACTAACATAATGAGCTATAAGACTTAGTGTGTCCTCTAGTGCCATAAATATTAGTAATAAAACATAAAAAAT